TTCCTGCTGTCTGCTTGTTATGAAGATTATGAAACTGGATCTGGAGCACCCTAAGATCCTTTGTAAACAGGAGTGCATAAATAATGAACACAAAGCTAGGGGCATATTGTGATGCAACTGAACTTACAGTTAGGCAACCTGGTACAATTGCTTATAAAGTTTACTAGAAATACAGGGTCAAACTCACTCCACTGTAACCCCAGTGATGTCAATGGAATTGAACAAGAGAGGAGTTTGAGCCCACTGTACGTGTACATTACCTAATATTAAAACTGCAAAGCATTTAACCATCTTGAAGGTGCAGTTTGTAACACTGAGCATCTACTAAAAGTCACATAGCACAGAAAAATAGTTAGCTAACTCTTCATTCCTGCAAATAACTGACACCAGAAAAGTAAAACGCACTATAGAAACACTGCACCATTAAAGAAAAAAAAATCTCTGCAGCACTTCCAGCTTCTACCTCCATTATTTGTCTTTGTCCTGTATTAAAAAGGGCAGTGTTAATAATTTTGCACCCAGGACAATACAGAGGTAAGGTAATAAACAGTCACATGCATGCTAAAGTTAGAGCTTCAGAGCTAGAGTCTGAACTCAGTCACAGTAGGGAACATGCAGAGTAACTTCTTAAAATTATCCTAGATTTGTGCTGGTGTAAGTGAGATTAGAATCTGGATTGATTCTTAAACTTCTTATTCTGAGGAAGAATCAGATACTCTAGACCAGAGGTTCCCAAACTTTTTCTTATTGCATACCTCCTTCCAGATTCACTAGCTGCCCATGTACTCTACCAGCATACAGTTTATTCTTTAACCCCTTAAATGCTGATTATTATCATGAAAATGAAAACCACCATTACACTATTTCTCCAGCATACCTCCCAGAGATGTTTTATGTACTCCCAGTGTGGGCACCCCTGCTGTAGACCAATTTCAGGAGTAATTCCCACTAAACAACCTACATCCCAGAAGGTCAGATTTTTAAACATAGATAATAACAGGGCATTTGAACCTTCATGTACCTTCAATTTGTTACCACACAGTGAGACCATACAATCTAAGCACACACATGCATTGGATATGGGAGACGGAACTAATTCACAGAATTCAGCTCTTCCTACCATGTTTGGGAGTGTTTTCATCTCAGTTCTGTTGTGGGACCATTTCAAGTAAAATATCTCAGTTGACGGGATTGTGCTGGGTGATATGAACCCTCTAAAACAAGTATACTTTAAAAAAATAGGATGAATCATTACAGCATACACATATACAAACATACTGGTCTCATCTTTATGATACTTAGACTTCCATGCTCAAAAAAATAAATATATGTATATACATACACAAGCTCATATGCATATATTGACCTTTCCATTCATTATTCCCATAATGTTTGCACATACAGAAGCAGTAAAATGTATGCATGGGTGAAACATTGTTCTATGCCTGACACCTAGTGGTAGGGTCTGAAATAACCAGAAAATTAACAAGGCCAGAGACAACGCAAACATAACAGAAGGCTTGATCCTCAAGAATAACAAGTGCACTTGTCCACTGGATCCTTTACCTTCATAAAAGTCTGTTCTCATAATAAAAAATATGCAAACTCTCCTCTGGCATATTGAACCTTGTTATTGACCATAGATGTTTTAATAATTCACTACAACAATACATTAAAACCCATTAAACTTCTTCACATTTTCCACCTGAACAGTGTCTTCCTGGCTGAAATGGAATTGGAAGGTAGGTAAGTGCCTTTTGTCAAAGATGGCAATCGTACGTAATGGGTAAAATTCCTATAACTTGCATAAAAAATAAATACAAAGCCATTTACATTATGATTCCAGGAAGCTCTCTGTGGGAGAGAGATGGGAAGAGAACAGATATGGATGAGTGAGAATGAGGACATTTGGGTAGATTTGGCTTTAAATATACCTACAGCCTTTAGCTTTTGGAATTCTTTAAGAAGATACAGCTTGTTACCTGGCATCTCCGTTTTCTATTTTAAGTAGAAGTATGAAAGTAAACTTGGATCCAACCTAGCCTGCATTATCTTCCTTGGGTAATAAAACGTTAGAAAATAAGTCTGTCTATATTTGACTGTCTGAATACAAAGCAACCCAGCTCAGCTCAAAATAACAACTGATGATATTTTATAAAATCGTTATAGAACTCATTATAGCACATTAATAGGAAGACAGTTCCCAGATAGAGCATGGATATTGCCACAGTAACATAAGGCCATGGCCTCAACCCAACCAACACACCCATTCAACCAAGTCTGCCACCCTAGAGCTGATCACCCAGACTGATCCAAGTTGGCCTAAAGCCACAGGACCTAACCCTTTGCCCACTCCCTGTCATCAAAGTGGACAGCCAAGGTCAGTTGACTCGACTTCCCCCATATAAACCCTTGAGTAGGGCCATAAAGTGTTTGGGCAACAGGCAGTACCATAGAAAAGGGAGGTGGGGGGTGAGCGAGGTGAACGCCCTGGGCGTCAAAGGGAAGCGACACCAACAGGCATTGGCCAGCCAGGGCAGGGTGTGCGACGGAGATGCGAGCAGCTCTTTTGGGGGGGGCGCCGGGATGAGGGAAGGGCGGCTTCTGCTGCTGCGTGCACTCCCAGGCAAGGGGGGGGGGGGGGACACGGACATGTGCCCCCCGGATCTGTGTGTGGGGCAAGAGCAGGCTGCTGCTGCAGGCTTGCCCCAGATGCCAAACTTCCTGGATACGGTACTGGCAATGGGACTTAGCCTGATCCAACACTGCATTGCTGGTCCCTGTGGCTTGCTCCTCAACTCTAATCTCTGCTTGATTTCCTGGCTTTTTTACTCAGTTGGCTCCTAGACCCTGCTCTTGGATTGTTCTCAGATTCTGTTCACCTATCCTGACCCTGGTTAGCACCTTGATCTGTGGAGAGGCTCCAGACATGATCATCCATGCCCCAATGTGACAGTTTGCCTGAACTACCCCAATGAAGAAGGCTCAGCATGGAACATAATCCTGTGCTGGTGCCCTCAGACTCACTGCTTTGAATGCTGCAGCCTTGGGAAGACCTGCAGGCTAGGTAGGATCATCTGAACTGGTTTGTCTCTGAAAAGTCCTAAAAGCCTGGACACAGCAACTGTTGGCCAATCACCAATCCCTCCAGTCCTAGATTGTGTACCACCAGGAGAATAGCCAGTGCTGGAAGAGGCACAGCAGCTGTGGGAATAAATAACTGTACTTCAGGCCTGTCCTGCAGGTCCTGTCCTGCCCCCCTCTCCTGCTATGTGGGGACTGGTGCTGCTTCAAGGGGTTTCTTATCCAACGCCACCTTTTGTTCTTTGCTCAACCTACTCCAAGGATCAGGCAAAAATGAGCCTTATCATAAGTCTATGGTAGAGCATGACAGCCCTGTTCTCTATGACTGGGAAGCATTCCTTCAAGAAATCTCCATGATGTTTGACTCTCACTGAGCATGGACAGCATTAGGGAACCTTCACTGAGGCAGGGGACTACCACCACCTATGCATCTCTTTTCCATCGCTACATAGCAAACACCACTGAAATGAGGTGTCCTAGCTTTATCACTTCTGGTGGGCTCTGCAGGATGAGGTAAAAAATGAACTGGCATGAGTAGAGATGCCTTTGGGGTTCAGTGCCTTCATGGACCTGGCAGTACATCTTCACCATTCCCTCCAGGAATGGAGGGAGGAAGAAGGCATTCCCTACCCCTTCCAGGTCCTTGCCCCGTAGTGGTTATTTCCAAACTCATGCAAATTAACTTGGGGAAGGGGTAGTGTTGCCTTACCCCAGATGAAAGGAAGTGCCAACACAACCTGCATTTCCAAAGGGTGTCCTTTGCCTCAATAGAGGGGACCATGCAAATAAGCCACCCCAGATGCGATAAGGTGGGGCAGCTGCAGTCTCCACAAACTCCCCTCACTCAGTAATAGAATCCTGCAACAAACCTGACCCACAGAACCCTCAGTTACAGCTATTCATCCACCTCCAAGTCCCAGGTCAAATCCTCCTGTTGACTGTCTTACTGGACTCTGGGGTAGTGTGCAATGTCATCAAAGAGTCTGTAGCACAGGCCCTATAAATCCCATTACAACAGCGGTTCAAGCCAGAGACCATTGAGACTACAGATGACTCACCTCTAGTGTCCAGCTCCATGGGAGTGGGGGATCACCACTCTGGAGGTGAACATCCATGGTCACCTCGAGACTCTATGCATCAGAGAAATCCATTTCCAGCATTATACCTTTATTCTAGGGTTCCTCTGGCTCATCTCTCCATCACCTGCTGGTCAGCTAGAAAGCCCAGGAAGTACACTTTGGTTCCAGCTACTGATGGCAATGCTGCTGGAAACCCTGGCTTGTTTCTAGACTCCACTCTGCTTGACTTCCCAGCTCTTTGACCCAACTCATTCCTAGACTCCACTCTCAGATTGACCTTGCTTCCTGACCCAGTTTGTTTTTAAATTCTGCTCACCCATCCTGACCCTGATCAGTGCCTCAGTCCCTGAATGGCCCTAGACCAGGGGTGGGCAATTATTTCAGGCAGAAGACCACTTACTGAGTTTTGGCAAGCCACCGAGGGCTGCATGACAGGCAGCCAGGGGCAGATAAATATTAATTTTCTAAATTTTTAGGGGCCCTGCAGGCTGGATAGAATGGCTTGGTGGGCCACATCCAGCCCACAGGCCATATTTTGCCCACCTCTGCCCCAGTCTCAGCTGCCACATCTCAGGTAGGACAAATAACTGTGATTCAATGGGCACGTCTACACATAATGCCATGTTGCTGTAGCAAAGCACTATGGCGATGTAGTGTCGTAGTGTCCGTGGGCATCTACATGTGACCAGCCCCTATGTCGCTGTAGCAGTGTGTTCCTGATGTAGCATGCCGCTACAGTGATGTAGGAGCTAAAAATAACTGTGCTCAGTGCGCATGGCGCAATATGGGTAGTTACTGCGTTATCTTTTAGTACTTCCTTTTTGTACTTCCAAGACATAGTACTTCCTTTTAGTACTTCCAGAAGGTATTATGCCAACTGCATTTAGAATCTCCTTCTGAAACCTATCTGAACAAAAACAACCACTAAATAGAATGCAGTCGTTCTATCTGCATACTAAGATTTTACACTTCCCAGGAATCTTGCGTCTGGCCTAACATTACGTTCTTGTGCTTTAGATGTGTACCTGTTGGTCCTTAATCTCACCTACCCATTTTAATTAAATAGTATGTGGAAAATTTTCATTTTCATTTGTTCTCAAGAAGTGCTCTTAGTAAGGTATGTGATTCCTTTATACTGAACTATCCTAAACAGGTTTGAGGAAAGAAATTTTGAAGCCCCTAAGCTTGTATGTAATGTATATAAACTATCAGACTTGTTTGTCCAATAAACAATATCCCATTATTATCCTTCTCCAGTGAGAGAGACATACTAACATTATTAGTAAAAAAGATCTGCATATAAAATGTCTGCTGAGAGCAAGGCAACTTTATGGAGAAACAACTCACAAAACAATCCAGTTATCAAGTGATATTTCACACTTCCAGTCAAAGGTCATTCACAGCTGCCAAAGTCTAGCAGTATGTTTTCATGACTTTGGGGACTGGTCAGAATTCCTGTACTTTCTGTCCTGCAGAAGACAGCGAGAGTCATTCAAGGGAACTCTCTAGTCACTTGATATTGGTCAAAGAAGTCAGATGGTTTCTTCTACCTACAAAGTGACGATGAGGGTTGTCCCCTTTCCGCTGGGATTGACTCCTTACTGCTACAGGATTGCCTCTTCATTGTGGTGAGATTCAAGTGATAGTAAGATGGCTTTTCATGTCCAGGGACTTGATGGAGTTTCCTCATAGTACTGAAATGAAAAAAATGAAACAAAATTCGAAAAAAGATACAGGCGAAACCCTACATAAGGGCTGCAGAAGGATTTTGGACCAAATACCCAGAATAATTTCCTGGTATGCTACTGATTTTCTGTATGCATCAAAGTTGGAGTTGACCTAACTGTGATTGCTCTTGTAATGAAAAATAATGAACACCACTTTGCCTCCATGTAGCACTTTCTATCTGAAAATTGCAAAACACTTTCCAAACATTAAAAAAAATAAACTTTCATAGGAATTAAGGCTAGAAGAGACTACTATGCTCAACTAGCGTAACATATAGCATTGCCCAGGTCAGAAAACTGAACCAAGTAATTTTAGTACTTAGCCCATCATTTCTTTTTGAGACAGCACATCTTTTAGAAAGATATCCATCTAGTCTTTATTTAGGATTTAAAGTGATAGAGAATCCACTGTGTCCCTAGATAAACACATTTTACAGACGAGCCTATGAACTTCACTTCATCAACCTCCTAGATACAGAAACTCATGGACTCAATATAGACATTGGATTTATGACACACTATAACTAGAGCTGTGTGAAGCTTCGGTCCCTGATTCGATTCGGTGGAGATTCAGCCCAATTTTGTGGCTGAATCTCCGAATCCAAATCAAATCAGAGGACCCTTTAATCTCTCTGAATCGATTTGGAGAGATTTGGACAGATTTGACAATTCGGACATAGATAAAGCTTTAAATGTTTTTTCTACATACCTCTAGGTAGCAGAGGCTCTGAACGCTACAGTGCTGGGGTAGATGCAGCATCCCTCAGAAGCACAGGGGGCTCCCTAGCACGTTCAGCAGCAGACCCAGAAGTGGACCAGAAGCACTTCCGAGTCCACCAGGGAGTGTGCTGGGCCCCCCTCCCCCCGCGTCCCCCTAGCTCAGTGACTGGTGCCTCCTGGGTCTGGGGGGGCACCTGGCCAACTGCCGGGCCAGCGGAGGTGCGAGGGGCACCCAGCGCGCTCCCCAGAAGACCTGGAAATGGACTGGAAGTACTTCAGATCCACTTCCGGGTTTGCTGCCAATCATGCTGGGGAGCTCCCCACACTGCTGTGGGACACTCCATCTGCCCCAGCATCACAGCTCTTACAAGCTGTGCTGCTATCTCAAGATATGCAGAAGAAACTTTTAAAGCTGTGCCTGTGTCCGATATGGCTGATTCACTGAATCAGCATAGAATCGTTAGATTCAGATTCAGCCAAATAGAATCAGGAATACTGATCCAAATGAACAGATCAAATCACTGTCCCTGATTCAGGTCAAATCTGAATCCGAATCGAATAGGGCCTGTTTTGCACACCCCTAACTATGACTTCCCCAACATCTGACTCCCCAGGTACCTCTCCACTTTTACCTGCTACATCCCCCTTTCCCCCCACCCCAGCCTGTCCCTCACCCTGACACCTCAATTTACATTTTCACTGACTGGCTTTCTTGCCTGCATTGCATGCCAGCCTCTGGGTTTTTTACTATTCCTTCCATCCAGGAAGAGTGCATGTACCACCTGCAGATGCTTCCTCAGCCTGATGAATGATTTTAAACTTGAAAGCTTGCTAAGCTTTTAGGCTAAGCATTTAGGCCCCTGATGTCTAGGGGCGACATCCATTCTGCAGCTGTACCATTCTGTACCTTCTGTACCATTCTGTACCTTCCCTACATTGCAGATGGCATCCCAGGCAGCTAAGCTCACCTGGAGCCTCACAACTCCACTGTAACCAGCAAGCCTCAGGCCTCTCAAAGATCTTACAGATCTGGACTTTCCCTGAACCTGTTCAGCCTCCACAAGAGAAGGCTGAAAGGGGATCTGGTGGCTGTTTATAAACTTACCAGGGGGGACCTGCTAGGAACAAGAGTCCCTGTTCCCCCGAGCACTACCAGAAGTAATTAGGAATAACGGCCACAAGTTGAGTGAGAGTAGGTTCAGGCTAGACATCAGGAAGCACTACTTCACAGTCAGGGCAGCTAGGATTTGGAACCAACTTCCAAGGGAAGTAGTGCTCACTCCTACCCTGGGGGTCTTCAAAAGGAGGCTAGATAATCACCTAGCCAGGGTCATTTGACCCTAGCATTCTTTCCTGCCCATGGCAGGGGGTCGGACTTGATGATCTGCTCAGGTCCCTTCCGACCCTACCTACTATGAAACTATGACTGTGCATGCATGTGGTGGCTGCAGGTTTTCAGGTGCCTCCTACCTGTCTTTCACCAGGGAGGTTTGCAGTCCTGGCATTTCCTGGGGGCTGCCACACCACTGGCAGTCCCACCAAGCCTCCCGACCCTGGCAGGGTGCAGTTTTAGGTCATGCCCAGGACCTGGGGCCTCCTCCTTTCCTATAGCCCCTGTCCATACCTCCAAGTTCATCCTGGTATGGGAGCTCAGCAGGGACATGTTCTTCCCCTGCTGGCTGGTGATAGAGTGAGTGTCACCTCCAGCTCTGAGAGTGGGGTATTATATGGTTTTTAAAAACAGTTTAAAAAGGAAATAGGTGTGGGCAGAGTGAGGAGGGTGGCACTAACTCAGTCTGCACGTGGAGCTTGGGGAATCCCAGCAGTGGGAGGTTCACCTTGAAGAACACCAGCTGCTCCACCAAGCCAGGATCCAAGGAGGTGTGATGGGGTGTCACAACATCCCCAGCAATGCTGAACACCCTCTTGCACAGAACACTGGTCGGTGGACAGGACAAGTGTTCCTGGGCAACCATGGCCAGATCCTGCTACATCTGACTGTGGCTTACCCATTAGGCCAAGGGGTTGCAGAGCAGCAGCTCCACGCCATCGGTGAGCTAGGTAGCTACCAAGGCCTCAGCACTACCTGCCCGATGCTCTGGACCCCAACATGGAAGCCATGTCCTTGGGGGAAACAGTGGGATGTTAGTTTCTGGAATCCCTGTTATTTGAACAAGAATCCCAAGGTTGCTCCTGTCTCTCCAGGGTGGCAATGCAAAACACACAGATTTTCCTTTTTTTGTCCACTACTTTTGTAACTTTCTCACCTCAAATTGTCCAGTCCTCAAGTTTCTTATCTCAGCCTTTTAGATATGTTGGCTACAAATGTCCAACTCGGGATCCTTAAAATTCTGGTTTATTAGGCGGATTGAAACACTGTAATGAAGTCAAATCATAAACCTTGGGGCTGGTCCACACACACACACACACACACACACGCACGCACGCACACACACACACAGTAGTGAGCTACAAGAGTTGGGTATACCTATCGCACAGGCACTGGAGTCTGCTGTCGATGGCCAGTCGAGGCTTTTTCCAGTGTGGTGTTATCCTCCAGAAGGGGGTCGCTGGCTGGTCCTTCTGGCTGGACAGGTCGGGTGCTGGTCAAGTTGGAGATCAAGAGGGCACCGCTGAGGGTCACTTTTCACTGCTTTTTATCTGTCCTTGGCAGACTTTGGTGACTCCCCAGTTTTCAGGTTTGCCCAATCCAGGGGTCGTTGACCCTCGTGAATAGGGCTCTGGGAGTGGTCGATCTGGAGATATTCAGCCCAAAAGTTGGTCCCCGGCATTGATTAACTCAGACCAGGGCTTCTAGCCCTTGAACAGTGAAGTTTAGAGAATTCCCAGTTGCTACATTGTCTCCTATTGATTTCTTCCCTTGGTTGATCTGTGGTTTCCCTAGATGTTAATTGTTGCCTGCTACTGTGTTACGCATTCAATCACTGATTCACTCACTCTTTCAGGGGCCCGCCTGATACAGGGAAGCGGCAGTTTCTATAACTTACTTCTGAAACTAAACACACTTAGTTAAAAGGTGAGGAGTATAAAATTTAAGCTACAAGAGTAATGCCATGGCACACAAATAGATAAAAATACCAAAATACAAGGGGAGATACAAAATGCACACATACTAACTTTAAAACACAATTCCTTATCTTATAGTGAAAGAAAGAGGAAGGAAGAAAAGGTAGAAGAGGAGAAACATATCCAAGGAGGGGAGAGCAACTGCAGGCAAGAGGAAAAGGGGGCTTTCTGATACAGATAAGGTATTCCAATCCTATTCCATTTTTGGTTTCCTTTCCTTTAGGGAAACTACTGTATCTGGTTAGCCTACTATACCAATCACACCACTCACTTTTCCCACTGCCTTATAAGGCACTCTGTACAATTTAATTGCTTAGTTCTGGGAGGGCCTACACTACGGTCAAGAGCCTTAGCATAACTCAGTTTGCCTGCTACACCCCTCACCCCTGGAACATGTGTAAAAGTGCCCATAGTTTTTCAGATGAAAGGCACATACTTGTGTTTTCTGTTGAGTTTTCTGTTGAGCTGTGGGGGACATAACAGAAGCATTCATATTGTGACCCCTGTCAGGTAATACTTGGTAAGACCTGCAAATTCTGCTAACACTCTGACCATGATTTTGACTATGGAGCTAAGACAGCAGCAGTAGTTCTGTGGCTGGAGGAGCAGTGCAGTTGCATTCCTATGCTCCTGAACAGTTTTTCTGAAACACCACTTGCAACCCCAGCTCTACCTGCCCTCTTTCCTGAGCACCCCCTTACTTTAGCTATTGCTTCACTTGCTGCTGAATTTGTTGCTGGCAATAACAGGTGATGATGGGAATCTGTGGTGAGAGGTAAGGGATGGCAGCAGCGGTGGCAGAAAGGAAGCTCAGCAGCCCTGAGTACAAAGCAGGGAGGGCTGGGATGGTGGCAGGTGACTCAGTGGTGGCAGTAACAGTGACAATGGTGGGATAAGCAGCCATCTTCAGACCCAGCTGCCTTATACTTAAAGGTTGCCCATCCCTGACCTAAACCACATAATATTGTTTCCATTCCATTCTCAAGCTCTGTGCAATCTTCAGCCTTAGTCCTGTGAAAGTATTTTTGAGTATAGGGGCAAGGATGTACAGAGGCACAGTCAATAGATGGATATGTATTTACTGGTTATGCCTAGCCCCAATATAAAGCACTTGCACTGGTCACATTTCTACTAATTCTCAGCAGCCTGAGAGAAGGAGTCTCTGCCTCTGGCCCCTGCTCCCAGTCCCTATTCATGACCACTTTTATGCGAGTTTTACACAAAAAAAAGATTCACAGTTAGTGCTTTGGGCTGTTTGTCTCTGGGATCACATATTAGATCTAACCACACCTTATTGCTGGTGTAGGGGAAGCTTGATCCTGGGCCTTTGCTGAAAGAGACCACAAGGGCCACATGGAGCCAGGACCAAGAGTCCCAGCAACTGACGGGACTCCTGGTTCTAGTTGTGTGAGGTGCAGCTGGGGCTGAGAGCCCCCTGTGGGCCAGGGGTTTCACCAGTTAATTGTGTGACACCTGTAATGCGTAGAGGGGGCCTAACTGCCACAGTGGTTAATCACGTGGAGAAATCTTTCCAGCTAGGAATGAATGAACCCACAAGCAATCCCAAAATACGCTGCAACATTTCACAAGATAATATTTGCAGTATTGTTGCAGGGGATTCTGGGGGTCAGGAATGTTTTGCTTTTGCAAAGACCAGCTAGCTTCTCCCTGCCAAGAGTCATATTTGGCTCGAAACAAAATAACCTAGCGTAGACCAGCAAACACACCACCACTGGGGTGGGCGGGGCCAGCTCTGTGGGCGGGGCCTCAGCTGCGCACCCCGGCCGCGACGCTACCGCTGCGCATGCGCGCTGGGCCGGGAGGGCGGCCGGAAGCATGGAGGTGGGCGCACGTGTGTCGGCGCTGTCTGTCTATCGCTCCGCGGCCGGAGCGGGGCCGGGGCTGGAGCGGCGCGGGCTGCTGCTGTCCCCGCGGAGCCGCCGGGTGAGGAAGGGGCTGAAACAGAGGAGCCGGGGAGGAGCCGGCGGGGGAAGGCGGGCAGCAGGTCCGTACCCGCGTTGCAAGGCCAGGGGTCCGAGGTGAAGGAGACCCGCCCGGTTCCGGCGCCCCGCGCTGCAGCAGCAGCAGGAGGGAGCAGCCCCGAGTTGCAGGCCGTGCTGCGGGAGCTGGGCGAGGTGGCGCACAGCAGGCAGCGTGGAGCCCGGCTGTTCCAATGGATGCTGGCCCCGGTGCCCCCGCAGCACTTCTTGGAGCAGAGCTGGGAGAAGCAGCCCCTCCTGATCCAGCGGCACCAGCCCAGCTACTACCAGGGGCTCTTCTCCACGGCAGAGCTGGATGACATCTTGCGAGGCGGCCGCGTGCACTTCGGGCTCCACCTGGACGTGACCAGCTATGTGGCCGGAGTCCGGGAGACCCACAACCCTGTGGGCCGGGCACTGCCGGCTGCTGTGTGGGACTTCTATCGCCGCGGCTGCTCCCTGCGGCTGCTAAACCCGCAGGCCTTCTCTGCCACCGTCTGGCACTTCCTCTCCATCCTCCAGGAGCAGTTCGGGAGCATGGTGGGTGCCAATGTGTACCTGACGCCCCCTGGCACGCAGGGCTTCGCACCCCACTATGACGACATCGAAGCCTTTGTGCTCCAGTTGGAAGGGAAGAAGCACTGGCGTGTCTACGCCCCGCGCAGTGAGGCTGAGGTCTTGCCCCAGTTCTCAAGTCCCAACTTTGCTCAGACGGAAATTGGGGAACCTGTTCTGGAGACCGTCCTTGAAGCTGGCGACCTGCTGTACTTTCCACGTGGGTTTATCCATCAAGGGGACTGCCTGCCTGATGCACACTCACTCCACATAACAGTATCCTCCTACCAAAGGAACTCCTGGGGAGACCTACTTGAGAAACTCCTCCCAGCTGCCTTGCAGATGGCCATAGAGGAAGATGTGGAGTACAGGCAAGGGCTCCCTTTAGACTACCTGGAATACACAGGGGTCCAGAACTCAGACGTGGTTGATTCTCGCCGACGTGCCTTTATGGAAAAGGTGCAAAGTTTGATGAAGAAGCTGGTGGATTATGCACCAATCGATGTGGCAGTGGATCAGAAAGCTAAGTCGTTTCTTCATGATTGTCTTCCTCCAGTGCTAACTGAAAGTGAAAGGATGCTGAGTGTACATGGGCTTCCAGCCAGATGGGAAGATGGAGGTGCCCTTGATGTTGATATACCAATAAAAAAAGAGACTCAGGTACGGCTGCTCCATCATGGTGTCCTTAGATTGTGTAATGATGAAAACGGCGTGGTGCTGTATTACACAACAGAAAACTCAAGAGTGTACCACGAGGAGGAGCTCAAGTACTTGCAGATAGATCCTGAGTTCACAGACGGCATCGAATTTCTGCTTACTTCCTATCCAAAGTATGTCACTGTGGACGCCCTTCCATGTAACTCTGTGGATGAAAAGGTTTCCTTGGCCACATTTTTGTTTGAGAAAGGCTTGTTGATTACCAAGAAACCTCTAGTATCTGTGTAGCTGTTTGTATTATGAGCAAAATAAATACAGATTGATTTGGAAAGAAATAAACCTGTTTTGTTCCTACCTTGCACATACTGGTAAACCTGAATTGGGGGTCCAGATCTTAGAAGTCATTGTGGTGGAAGAATAGCTTTCTCCTGGGTAGAAAGAGAAAACATTTTCTAAAGAATAAGTACACAAGAAGCAGGTATCTAGCATGTCCACTGTGGCATGGACTTAAATGTTATCACAGCTGCTGTAATTATTCCCTAATACTCTCTGCAAGCTAGTTTGCATATTCCTTTGACATACGTGAGACAAAATAAGGTCTACCAGTTCATACTTTGACATGGTTTGGAGTAATCTGCATTAAGACTACCAGAGGCATTTTTTGCTGTATGAAGAGGCATTAATAATCAATTTGAATGCTGTACTGCAGCTCTGGCTATTTGAGCCATCTATATGGGCATTTGATAACGATGTGCAGTAGAGCATATATCTAAACAATTGTTCATTCAGATCAATAAATCACAGATTCATAAAGGACTTAATTATGTGAGGTGCCAATGGCTTTTGAGTCATTAAAAAGTTAAATACTGTCATAAACATGGCCCTCGATTTACACAAATGAGTAATTTGTATTAAAGCTTTGTGTTTGTTTCCTGGTTTGAAAGTAAATATATATTTATTGGCATAGTTGGATGTCGTGAGATTCCCAAAGAATGCCTTGTGCAGCTTCTACATTGGTGGAATAGCTTCAAGGCACACTAAACCGATTTTAAGCTACATAATTTTGAATGTAGTTACATTAAAGATAGCTCTGTTCAGGCAGCATTCAAACAAGGCTCTTCAGTAGTTTGTAAAATATATGAAAATTAAATTATGGATGCAGATTGCTTTACCATGTTACACAGTTATGAATGATTTAGCACTAAAAACCTGTAGAGCAAGTTCATGATGGGAAAGGGGGAGAGAATGTATCACGGGGCACATCTACGTTTGCATATTAATGTGATGCCGTTAACTCCAGTGCATATCGTGCCAGAGTTTATTGCTCCCAGACGCTGCATTTTCCATGTGCGCCTGGGACTGCAGCACACTGAGCTGTGTCAGAGCAACCCCAGCTGGCAGGAGATCCAGGGAGTCAGCCTACCAGCTTAGGGCTGCTCTGACCTGGCTCAACATGCTGCAGAGGGGCTGGCTGGGGCACAAGGGTGCTTCAGTGTGGGGCTAGCCAGTAGGCAGCCCCTGTACTGAAACCCCTTCGTGCCTCTGCCAGTTACATCAGCATCTACACATGCATTGCTGCAGAGTAAAAAAACTCTGCAATAGTATAGTACTTGTATTTAGAAGTACTATCCCACTGCAGAATTAGTTAGTTTCTTGCGTTCTAATAGGACTGCATATGTAGATGCAGAGACATTTACTGCAGAGCTAATTAGTCTATTCCACAGTAAATGTCTCATGTAGATGTACCCAGGGAGTTCAAAGGAGGTATTAACTAACATATCAAAAAGCTCTGTGGGTGGGGAACTATTTCATAAATCCCTTCTTGTTAGGAGAAGAAAACCTACATCTTTCTCCTCTAGGTGTAAGTTGCACTAACCTAATTTAAAACACACTAGGTGACACAGGAACAGTTTTTACCTATGTTGCAAAAGATCTATGCTACTTAGTAGATACAAGCTTATAACCTTACAGAGAAATGGGTATTTCCAGATATTGCTATGTAAGAAGTAAAACAATGCTGTTAGATTTTTGTTTTTGTAGTTTCAATCTGCCTTTCCATGAGAAACGGCTCATGATTCTAAGCAGGAGTGCTTAGTATCTCAAGCTCTTTTATAGACATGCCAATTCCTCTTTCCATAATTAATATAAAACTATTTCCTATCAGCCATAGGACTCAGGACCCCAGCCCAGTTTTTCCCATGGTAAATCAAAGCACCACTTCTGGGCAACTTATTAACTCTGTTTGGCAAACATGTGGGTCCTTAGTTATGTGATGTACAAGTGATGGCCACTTCTGTGTGTGATCTGCTAGTGCACTGCTTTACAGGAAGTTAGAGTAGAAAGGCATGCCAAATTCTGCCACTGGTACAAGCTCCATAGTAGACTTTGTGCCAGTAGAGAATTGAACCTAGTGGCACTCTGCTCCATCATGCCTTTCCATCCATGTCAAAGATACGCAACAGTCATTCCTTAACTGAAGTAAGGTGGGAAAGGCAGTTAGTGTTGAAGATAGGGTAGATTCCCTGCCAGCTATTTCCAGATGTCTTGAGGATTTTTTGTACTGCTTGGCCTTGGCAGACTAGAGAATTTGGTCCTTGGGAATCTTAGCTAGTAAAGTAAAGCTTTATATTTACACCCTGTCCATTCCTTGGATAACTTGCAGTGTTGGTGTGGTGCATGTTGAATGACACAGCTTCGTTTCACTAATAACTAAGGCCTATGGGGATGGTCCCAAAAACAAATCCCATCTAAGCCCATATGCAGGGACTACCAATGGAAGTGGATTCAAGAGCAGCCCTCAGGTTTTCCAGTATATCCTTGTAGTCAGAGCTATGCTCCTCTGCATGATAGATTCGATCGGCTTTCTGCCACAGATGGTCTATAATCTCTTCAAGTTTCAGCAGTTTCTGGGTCACCAATGCCTTTTGGCTGAGGCTGGAAATCTGGATCAAAAACATACACGTGGGACAGATGTAAAAAATCATTACATTTCTAATTGGAAAATTCTACTTCATGGAACTCTAGGCAGACAAATATCAGTATTTTTTTTTTTACCTTCAATTGTTATAGCAGAAAGGCAAGTAAGCACATGTTGCAGTTGGGCTGTTAAACCTAGTAATTAAACCCTGCTGCCAGTTCCTTGTGAAGCAATACAGTGAATAGATCAACCCACCCTGCTCATAAGCCCCTGGCACTGTCATCTAGCCCTGTGTGATAGATTAGGCATGTAGGGCCTTATTCTGGTATGCTAGGACAACAGAGGGCCTGATCTGGTCCACAGAGAGCCCCCCGCTATTCATCTAACCAATGGGGTCAAAACTGTGAAAACATCTGATCTATTGCATCAGGATTTTGGTGGGACTGTCACCACCTTTTCATCATGCATAAGTAAATTCTTAGAAAGAAATTAATTAAATGTTGTGGGGTGGAGGTAGTTAAAATAACCTCTACAAGGCAAATGCAAAAGAAGATACAATTTACTTTCTTCTCCATTGGGGAAAAAAAAAGCTCTGTGTATTTGTAAGAGCCTTATCTAAAGCTCTGTGTATCCTTCATAAAACTAGATGAAAATTCTGCAGAAAGGCCTTCTCCCTTTGTTGCAGCAGATGAAAATATCTGCACGTCTCAAGTCAATAAAATGACCAATAACTCTGTTCAGTTATCATTATTTGTTAGTTTAGTATTAATTTCTGTTTTTAACTTGATCCTTAAACTTTCAATATGTGCTAACTGCACTGATAAAACACAGCTGCCTTTTAGAAACTGGAAGGGGAACTATGTGCTTTTGTTCCTGGATGTGGGACAACCCAAGTTTTTAACATTAATGGAACTGTAGAGATGGTTAGAGATCGCAGATAAGATACTGGAACTTGTGCAGTAACATCCAGTCAGGCTGTAATACTATCCATACTGGGCGCATCTACACATGCATTAATGCACTTTTCCTAACGCACATTTAGTACCTCCAATGTGAGGTACTAAATAAATGCATGTTTGGCTGCCCTAATGTGCAGTAGCGAAAGCACGCTTTTTTTTAGTGACGCTTAACATGCAGTAGCCTATCTTACTGTGCAGTAGCATATTAGCACAGTTTTTTATGTGATGCTTTAATGCTCAGTAAAATAGGCTACTGTACATTAAAGCACACATGTAGCTGCACCCACTGAGTAGAAACTTTATTTCCCAAGTAATCCTACTCATGCTGTAAGGTGAATAGGGTACCCTGGGATGATGTTTGAAAGGTTTTATTTGCAACCATGAAGGTGGAAAATAGAAAAACAAAGGTCCAGATTCTAGCAGAATCTACTGGAAAAAATAAAATAATGCTGTACCACTATGTAATATACATGGCTCTTAATACAGCCTGGTTTACATACAACTGGGAGAGAAAGACGTAAGTATTTTCCACTTTTAAAAAGAGAAAAATTAAACTTTTTTGTACTTGGTCCTTCTTACTGAAACTGGCTAAAATGGGAGAGCCTGGATCATAATGTGCACAGTGTGTGTACAGGGCATGTGGGATGTACAGGCAGTTGAGATTCCTCTGTAGTGCTGCCTTCTCACTGAATGTCTTTCTTTCCCTTTTTTTTTTTTAAATGTTCAGGCTTCAGGCAGCACCATTAAGCTCCATGCAGGTCTGCAGTAAGATACACAACAGAAAAAGACAAATGCAGTGATGCTACATTGAAGGAATCAGAACTCAGGGTAGAGGTGATAACTTTTATTAGACCAACTAGATTTTTGCAAAAAAAAAAAAAAAAAAAAAATTATTGCAAGCTTTCAGGTACAAACACCCTTCATCAGGCATAGGAGAAAAGATTGTAAAAGTTTTCCTATGTAGAACTTTTACAATCTTTTCTCCTATGCCTGATGAAAAAGCCCGGCAGGAAAAATTATGCTGAGGGGAAACCAGCACGGGTTCGTAGCAGGTAGATCATGCCTGACTAATCTAGTCTCTTTTTATGACCAGGTTACAAAACACCTGGATGCAGGAGTAGGGGTTGACGTTGTTTACTTAGACTTCAGAAAGGCCTTTGATACGGTATCCCACCCCATTCTGGTGAACAAGTTAAGAGGCTGTGACTTGGATGACTACATAGTCCGGTGGGTGGCGAATTGGCTAGAGGGTTGTACCTAGAGAGTCGTAGTGGATGGGTTGGTATTGAACTGGAAGGGTGTTGGCAGTGGGGTCCCGCAGGGCTCGGTCCTTGGACCGATACTCTTCAATGTCTTCATCAGCGACTTGGACGAGGGAGTGAAGTGTACTCTGTCCAAGTCTGCGGATGACACAAAACTGTGGGGGGAAGCGGACACGCCGGAGGGCAGGGAACAACTACAAGCAGACCTGGACAGGTTGGACATATGGGCAGAAAACAACAGAATGCAATTCAACAGGGAGAAATGCAAAGTGCTGCACCTAGGGAGGAAAAATGTCCAGCATACCTACTGCCTAGGAAATGAC